AGCCTCCTGCTGGCATGGGGATACTGCGTGCTTGTGCTGCTGGCTGGGGCTACTCTCGCACCGCTTCCTGACCTCTTAGCTCTTAGGCCCAAGCCCTCTGGCCCAGCTGAGCGGTGCTTCACATTACTAGGGCAGGAACTAGGGGTGGGCCATGAGACCTCTTGAGCTCTGTGACCTCAGCTGTGGTCCATGGTTGGGGCTTGAGCTGCCAGAGTCCTCCCTGGGGTCCTCTCCATACCCAGGCATGGGCTGAGCAGAGCTTTCCTGTTAGCAGTGATGCTATTGGCTCTTGCCACATGTGCTAGGGCTGCCTCTTGCTGAAGAGATGGGTGGGAGCTCTGGGAGCCAGGCACTGAGTCAGCGCAGACTTGGAAGGGCCTGACACGTTCCCTGTGGGTGCAGGGAGTGGCTTGCAGGCTGCTGGGGTAAAGGGGTGGCAAGGGGGCTTCTGCTGAGCAGCTCTTCTCCTCCTCCAGCTGCCTCTGCTGCAGATACCAGGAGGATCTGGGATGCAGCTGACCCCACAGCCTGCTCCTGGCAGACTGAGACCAACCAACAGACTGGTCTGGGTGCGGGCCTGCCTGCTGGTGCAACCACCATGCTGCCAGGAAGAAGGAGAAGATGTGGGGACAGGTGATGTGCCCAGGGGCAAGAGCCAGGTGAGTGGCTGTGAGGTGCTGGCAGAGCTGTGCCCTGTACCTTGGACAGGGAGTGATGATTTGCTGGGCCTGCTCTGCCACCTCCTGCTCCCTGACCTGGCACATTCCCGTCCCGTCCCCGCCCCCCGCCAGAGCCTCAGTCTGCTCTCCTGGAAGGAAACAGTGCCCTGTGCCCTGTGCCTTGCCATGTACAAACACTTGCCCTGCCCATGGGGACCAACCCTGTGCCTTGCCTTGGCTGAGCAGTCTGAAATCCTCTCCCCAAAGAGCCCTGCATCTCCAGATACCCTGAGAGGCCAGGCTGGGACTCCTCTGGCTCCTGCCTCTGAGCATCTCCTAGTACTAGAACCTCTGGTATTTCTCTGAAACAGAGGCATGGACTATGAAGAGCTTTGCCCACAGGTCCCAGGTTTGTGCACACGTGTGCTTGGGGGGTGGTAGCATGGGCATGCCCATGTGCCCTGGGGAGGCATCTAGAAGTGCAGAGGTGTCCATCAGGTGGGATGTATGTGTCTAGTGGGGTGGCGTGTGTACATATGTGTGTGAGCTCATGCTGGTGGGCTGGCCTGTGTGTGTGCATGTGTGTGAGGTCCTGTCCCCAGCAGGCACTTGCTGCTCCCCATGCCGACTCCCCCATTCTTCCCTTCAACAGCCTCTCCACCCTGAGACCCTGAGGCACAGACAGAAGCTGCCCAGGCTGGCCGTGCAGGGAGTGTTAGATCCTCTGATCAGCAATGCCCCAGGGCAGGGGTGGGCCAAATCCAGGGGCTGGGGCACCAGGTGGGGCCCCTGCCAGGCTCCCCCCTTATGGGGCCCACAGATATGAGGGGCTCAGACCCTCAGTGTCAGGGGTGGCACTGCTACACAGTGACTGTCCCCTCTCCTTCTCTCCTAGGGCCTCGACAGAAGCTGTCAGAGCAGGCCCAAGGTGGAGGCTCCAAGGAAGAAAGCAGTGGCCCAGAGGGACTCAGTGCCCTGCACACCCCAGCAGGGCCTGGAAAGACTGAAAGAATGGCCACATCCTGGGCTGAAGCCCTTTGCACCCCAAGTAATACTTGCTGCCCCAGCCCCTGACTACCTTCTGGTGGCCTGTGCCCCCATGTGCTGGGGCAGTGCATGGGCTTGTGTGTCCATATGGGAGACAGCAGTGTGTGTATATGTGTATACAATGTGCCCGTGAACCTGTGCTGGTGGCTACCATGTGTGTGCAGGTGTGTGGGCCCATGTCCCCTGTATTGACTCCCTCATCCTTCCTCCCCAACAGGATCTCATCCTCAAGAGGGCAGGGCCCAGAGCAACCCCTAATATGTCCTTCAGGGGAAAGGTAGGTCTGCAAGCCAGCCATACCCCATGCTTGGGGTGGGCTACGTTCCAGGACCAGGGGTGCCAGGTGGGGTCTTGTGAGGCTCTATGCACTATGGGGTGCCGGAGGCATGGAGGACTCAGACCCTTTGTGCCCTGGACAGGGCACTGGTGGTGTGGTGACTGTCCCCTCTCACCTGGTCCTTCCTAGGGCCTGTCCTAAAAGGCTGCATGGCCGGCAGACGACCAGGGCAAGTGACCTGGTAGCACCATGGTGGCAGCGTGGAGGTCCTGCTGGCCTCTCTCCTCCCAGGCCTGGAGCACTGCCCCTGCCAGCACCAAGCAGGAAGCACGGGAAGGAAGAGCTGTGAGTTCAGCTCCAAGCCACCCACGACGCAGCTGAGGGAGAAGCAGAGGAAAATATCCAAATCAGCTGCCCCTCCATGTCCAACACATGACATCAGGACTGGAAGGCATCGACGACAAGAGCAAATGCCGGATCCTTGCTGCCATAAGCAATGGCCCCCAGCTCCTGGTATTTGTCAGGCTCTGCCCCAAGGCCCCATCCCCCTGCCCTGCACCAAGCGGTGCCACATCCACCCTGCCCATGGTGGAAGCCACACTGGCCTCTCATCCTGTTGCAGGTTCATGTTGAATCTACGGTGTGGGAACAGCAACATCACCTTCCACTTCACCCTGCGTTTTGATGAGGACTGCCCTGTGGTCGTGTGCAACACACAGCAAGGTAGGAGCTGCTGGGAAGAGGAGCGGGCTGACACCATGCCCTTCCTGCCGGGCACCTGCCTCGTGAAGATAGCAAGCATCCGGAATCAGTGCTACAAGGCCCAGGCATGGTGGGAAGCCTACCTGTCCCTTCCTGGACAGAGCACAACCCTGGCAGACCATTTTGCACCACAGCCCTGATGAGCTGTCAGTTTTTCTCTTCATAGACAAGGCCCTGCTCTGCCAGAAACTTCTTATTCGAAGAATTTTCACAGGCATCTGATATGAAAGCAGCTTAGACTTTTGGTATGTTTGGAGTAGGTCCTCTATGTTTCTGAGCCATAGAGAAGAGTGGATAAAACTCATGCCTCATATATATGGTTTTTCACTTCAGTTCACAGTTAGTTATTGTTCCAGACTCTGTCTTACAAAAGCCCAAGCAGTTCTTGGCTGCTTTGCCGATTCTACTAGCAAGCTCAGCATCAAGATCTACATTGCTGGGAACAGTCGAGCCAAGGTAGAAAAATTGGTCAACAACATCCAGACAAGTACCATCTATGGTGATATCTGGAACAGGTTATGAAGAGCCATGGTGCATGATAGCAGTCTTCTTCATGCTTATTGCTAGGTCAAAGTATTTGCATGAGTCAGAGAACTTGGTAATGAGATGTTGCAGGGCATCAACACTGTAAGCCACAAGGACTGCATCATCTGAAAACAACAGGTCCCTTCTGATGATCTCCTTCACCTTCAAGTAGCTCTGAGACTTGCAATGTTAAACAGTCCTCCATCATGTCTAGTGCTGAGATAGACACCCTCTCAAACTAACAGAACGCTTGTTGAAGCAGGAATAAGAAGTAAATGTTAGACAACGTGGAAGCCTCTCTGTGAGGGCAAAAATGGCAGTTAGGCAGGGCTGCACCAGTTTGTATATCTGGTATTGTACTGTCCTGGCAACCGTTGATCCTCTTGATCGTGGTTTATACACAAGAGGTCTATACAACCATCACAACAAGACCATCGGCACATACACCTAGGCAAGAGGATGGAGAAGTGGAGGCTGCCCTAGACCTACCACCCCCACTTCAGACCATTGAGACAGAGTCCAAAGGCCAGACTGAGTCCAGATGTTCAGTGCCTCCAAGGTTGTAGCTTCTGCCAGAGAGCAACAGATAGAGCTGCTGCTGACTGCCAAACATCTCAGCAAGGGTACATTTTTCTCTGGATGACGTTCCTTTGCCTACCTCCAACCAAGGAGTACCCACAAGGCAGCAGGATTTTGTTGTATTGTATATTTATATGGAATAAAAATCTTTAATATTTAAAAGGAAATATACAGCAGACTGTTAATGGTATCACCAGAGTCAATACCACTGGCACGTGATTAAGTGCTGTCAACTGTCCCTGTAAGAGGTATAAACACCTGCCAGTAACACATATCTCAGGGCAGGAGGGCCCTGCTATAAGGGCTGTCCCATACAAAACATCGTTTTTCTTGCTTTTTTCTCCTCACTGTTTCTTGGGAAAAGGTGGGGGCATAAGGATTGGCTGGCTCAAAGGGTGGGGAATAGGATGGGGGCTTTCCCTTCTAGAGGGCACCAGCAATGATCTGCCTGAGGCAGAGGCACTGGGTGACTGCAGGGCAAGGAAGGGGCAAAGGGGCCTTTCCACACCCAGAGCTATTGGCGGAGCAGCTCCCCCATCCTAGATACAAAGTGCCCTCTCCTCTCTCCCCCGCAGTAAGTTCAGGTTTTGCTGAGCACATTATTTCCTAGGTTGGATCCACCTGCAGGGAATGAGCTGCTTTCCCATTGAACTAAACTGCTGGGAAGGACCTGCTTGTCCTGAGTGCAAGATGCAGGAACCTATTAGGATCACTCCAGCATGGAAAGACCTGAATTCGCAGTGTAACCCCCTTGAACTGTATGGGTTTTTTTTTAATGCCTTCAGCTTGGGGAGGGCCAGCAAGACCTTTTTGAGCATGCTGGGGAGGGGAATGGTGGTAGCTGGTGGCCCTGTTGGGGCAAGGGGGTAAACTCTATGCTAGCAGCCTGTTTTGAAAGTGTGCAGCAGCTGGGCCCAGAGGGGAGTGTTGTGAAGAAAGTCTCTGTGAATAGGGCAGGGGCTGGTTGACCATCCTGGACTGTCCTTTTGCAAACACTGACTGAGCAGAGCTGGGTGAGCCCTGGCTTTTGATGGCAGAGGGGTAACTAATCTGTCCAGTGTCCCAGGAACTGAAGCAGGTTGAGGAGAAATGTTAATGATTACTCTCTCAGCCAGAGAAATTTGCATCCTGTTCTGAATACCTGCTGGGAAAAGAAACAACACAAGTACATTGGACACACACAGCGGCTCCAGAAAGTGTAGATTCATTCTAAGCTAACCTGACTTAGAACATGAGGAGTTTAAAAGATGGTGAAGCCAGTTAGCAGCTTATTTGTCACCGAGAAGCAGCTGGTGTGTGTGTGTGAGTATGTAGTGGTTTGTTATTGTAGTAAAAAGGCTGGCTTGCATGAGTGACAGTGATGGGCACAGCCAGCTTCAAAAATAGGTATCTTCATAAACACTCTGAACTAACAAAATAGACAATCTAGGCCGGGGGAGTAGTGGGCCATATGTGACTCCCTGGAAGTCTGAGGTAGCCTGGGCAATATGTGGAGACCTTCAGAGCCTCAGGGCTAGCTTTGCAAAGGCTCCACCTGCACACAGAATTTCTCAGGGAAGCCGGTGGCTCTGGAAGGAGTTCATGCATCGGTCAGGTTTGATAGTCAGGCCTACTCTGGTCAATGCTTCAGCAAAGACTTTGTGTGAGCAGAATATATTTTGACCAGTGCTCCAGCAAGGCCAACACCTGGAGAAGTTTCTTTTGTACTAGTCAATGTGACTCAGCAAGAACAAGTTGAAGGATTCTGTGGGGAGATAAGATGGTCAGAGGAGAATGACAATGGCCATATTGTGTGGGTCACTTTGTTAGGCACAGCTTGTTCCAAAGAGTCTTCCTGATAGACACAAAGCTTTTCCAGGGAGCCCCATATTCTACTGTGGGGCAGAACATGCCCTTGCCCAGTCCCTCTTCCCTTCCCATCAGAAACCACTTTATTTTCCCTCTCTCTGACCATCTGCAAGGAGGCAGCTGGAGAATGGCTTGTGGTGGGGCAGTGCTGCTTTGAGATGCCAGATCGGCCCTTTCGCCCAGTGCAGAAAAGCCTAACTCCTCACAGGAAGGAAATGATGCTGTTCTTCCCTCAGCCAGCTGGATGAGGCTTCCTGCTCAGTCCCTCTTGATCAAAAGATTGTTATGAGACCAGGCCTGCAAGCTGGTTGGGAAAAAAATATATAGCATGTCTGGCCCATTTAAATGGCTTCCTTCTGGCTTGGTGATATAGCCAAAGGGCATCTTGTTTGCTGCTGCAAATGGAGTACCCTTTCAGAAAACAGCTAAGTAGGGAGAACAATTTGGTTTACAGTGTAACCCTTCCACCAGGCATTGAATGGCAGCAGCACAGGCCAAGCTTGAATGTAGATGTTTGACACACATTTTCATCTTGGCTCAAGCCCCCATCTGGGAAAACAAATGCTGCCTGGTGGTTCCCGTGTGAACATGCTTCCCACTCACAAGCCATAGCAAACTGTAAGAGGGTCTCGTAAAGATGGAACTCGGAAGCAATCTTGGGGAAGACCTTAATGGTCTGTAGCCTGCTCAAACTAAGTATTCATAGGCCACATCTACACAAGACATTGACTGTGCAGTCAGTACTGTGCAATAGCAGAGTTACTGTTCAGTAGCATCGCCGAATGGCGTTTTTGTGACACTGACTGTGTGGTAGCTTGTTAATACTGCACAGCAGCATCATGTCACACTTCCTGCCATGGGACACTGCTGCGCAGTAGTAATGAGCTAATGCACCATCAGTGTTTCATGTATTTGTGGCCACAGGTATCACAGTCAACAGGACAAGATTTCTCCCCTAGATCCATGCAGGAAGCACTTGGTAGCTAGAGGAGACAAGGGGGCTGCTGGCTACAACCTTTCCCCTCTCCTCTCTGCTTCGTGTAACTGGGAAGTCTGACAGAGGACACTGCTCAGCTCTTGCTACTGCCATTCCTTACTACAGCTCAGGGGCTCTGCTCCACTTGGGCTGCTCCTGGCACTGCTCCTTGTCACAGCTGGGGATGGGTGCTCCTCTCCTTGTTGCTGATACCATCCAGCTCTTTTAGATGTTGGGCAGGCTGATGGATTTCCCCTCTTCTAGGATCTAGTAGGTACAGGCCTCACCAAGATCCAGCTGGGGAAGTTTGCCCAGAGATTCTCCCAGGACTTCAGCTCTTTTAAAAATCAAGTGGGGAACAGGTCTTAGCCTGAACCTGCTGTAGGGCTTCGCACAGCACAAGTCCTCTTCCCAGTGATGCTTGGTGGCAGACTGCAGTGCCATCCTGGAGGTAGCTCCCATGTGGGGTTCCCCCTTAGCTTCCTCTGTTACTACGAACAAACACTGAACAGTGAGAAAAACAAATGATTAAGAAAGGAAGAGCAGGGGCCTGGCAGGACAGTGTCCATGGGGAGTGTGAAGGGCAGGGATATTCTAGAAAGGGTCCCGAGCTTCCCCAGCAAAAGGTGATACGTGGATTTAGCCAAACCCAGAAGGTCTATTGACAGAACCCACATGCTGTGCTGCGCTAAAATCCATATTCCTCTGGCTCCTCTCCCTCTGTCCTTCAGCTTTTCATGTATGTCTCAGGTCAGCTGCACTGTGGGACAACAGCATGAAGAGGGGAAGCCCATCCAGCTTGGCCTGGCTCAGCAATGGAGAGGCCTGACCAGACCAGACCTGCTAGGTCACAACCTGGACCCAGAAATGTGTCAGGGTGCAGAGCAGCTGCTGTTGTGGGCACCTGCCAGTCACGAGCTGTTGCCTAGGACTGGCCAGCCACCCCAAACCCTGCTAACAGCCCAAGCCGAGCTAACCCAAACCTTTCTAACAGCCTGAGTTGAGCTATCCCAAACCCTACACCTGTCCCCCCGGCCTGTTTGCCTGAGGCAGGGAGAGTGTGGTGGATTCACAGCTCAGCATCAAGCCGCAGGAGCCACCCCTCCATTCCCAGCAACAGTAGTCACCTGACAAAATAGGAAGCTCCAGCCGCTCTCCGCAGGGGCCTAGAGAAACTTTGGTTGCTTGCCCCACATAGTCACCCAGTGCTGTTCATGATGCTCCATGTCATGTCCCTCCCCCCCAGCACCTCTTCACCAGGCACCTTGGCATCATGGTCCGGGTGCCAGGCAGGCTGGGATTGCGCGAGCACCCTAGCTCTCCTGGCCCATTTCTGAGTTTGGAAGCGCAGCTCCCTGTACCTGCAGGATGAAGACCAGCTCCCTGCCCAACTGGAACTTTTGTGGGATGGAGGAGAGAGTAAAGGAGGTGTAAGGGCAGACAGCAGACAGAAGCCCCCTGGGACACTGCCCCAGAGATGCATTGGCTGTACTATATCACCCCTGACGCAAACACATGCAGGCCTGTCCTTAATGAACATGCATGTGCACACACACATTGGCCACCACCACTGGCTCACAGGCAACTCACCACCAACACATGCATGTGTACTCAATTTGCACCAGTGCATATACACTGCTAGGCATATACGTGCACTCACGCTCAGACTTAGGGCACAAATGCAGGCCACACTCCCAACCTTACACATGTACAAAACACAGAAGACAAACAAACAGCTTCACACACACACAGCAGCACCCACCCAAGACAACCACTCCACTCCACCCCATAGGAGGGTACCTACTAGTACAAGGCCAAGCACAGAACTAGGGGGAAGCTCCCAGGCTCTATCCCTGGCTCTGCCATTTACTCCCTGAGTGGCCCTGGGGAAATCCTTCCCACAGCCCCTGCCTCAGTTTCCCCATTTAGAAAACACACAGTACAGCCTCCCAGCAGCTTCTTGATTCCAGATCAGAGACTTTGTGGCAATAGATCCATCTCACAGCCACTCACCTGGTTCCTGCCCCTGGGCTCCTGGCCTCTGCACACACCTTCCCATGGAACAGGGGCAGGCAATTATTTTGGGCAGAGGGCCGCTTACTGAGTTTCAGCAAGCCATCGAGGGCCACATGACAGGCAGCCCAGGGCAGATCAATATTAATTTTCTAAATTTTTTAGGGGCCCCGCAGGCCGGATAGAATGGCTTGGCAGGCCACATCCAGCCCCCAGGCCACATTTTGCCCACCCCTGTTGTGGAAGGATCCAGACCCTGCCCACCCTCCTGGTCACCCCGGGTTAGCTGTGAGGTAGACTCCAAGGAAGGTTTCCTCTGCTGTTGTTTGCCTCCACCTGGGGGAGATGTACAAAAAGACAGCAGGTGTTTAGTAGGGGTGTGCAAAGCGGGCCCTATTCGATTTGGACTCAGCCTGAATCAGGGACAGTGATTTGATTCATTGATTCATATCACTGTCCCCGATTTGATTCGGCCGAATCTTAATCTGAAGATTTGATGCTGATTTGGACACAGACACAGCTTTAAATGTTTTTCCTACATACCTCGAGGTACCAGTGCAGCTCGTGATTGCTGTGATGCTGGGGTGCATGGAGTGTCCCACAGAAGCGTGGGGGGGCCTTCCACGTGCTCAGCGGCAAACCCGAAAGTGGACCAGAAGTTGTTCCGCTCCACTTCCGGATCCTGCGGGGAGCGCACTGCCCCCCACCCCTGCAGCCCCCCGGCTCAGTGATGGGCCACAGGGGGACCCCAGGTGCCCCCCCAGACCCAGGAGGCACCAGTCACTGAGCCGGGGGGGGGCACAGGGGGCACCCCCCCCTGCATACTTCCTGGCAGACCTGGAAATGGACTGGAAGTGCTTCTGGTCCACTTCCAGGTCTGCTGCCGAGCGCGCTGGGGAGCCCCCTGCGCTCCTGTGGGACACTCCATGTGCCCCAGCATTGCAGCATTCACAAGCTGCCTGCTACCTAGAGGTACGTAGAAAAAACATTTAAAGCTGCGTCTATGTCTGAATTGCCGAATCTTTGCGAATCTCTCTGAATTGATTCGGAGAGTTCCAATTCAATTCAGAGAGATTAAAGGGTCCTCTGATTCGACTCAGATTCAGAGATTCAGGCGCTGAATCAGGATGAATTTCTGCCAAATCGAATCAGGGACCAAAGCTTCGCACAGCCCTAATGTTTAGCACAGGCTTGTCCAACATACGGCCCGTGGGCCGCCATGTGGCCCGCCAAGCATTTTCTGTGGCCCGCGGTGCTGCGACAGGAAATGAAAGTAAATGCTGTTTACTTTCGTTCCCACCCCTTGTCCCTCCCCCATCCCCTCAGCAGCTTCCTAAAGGCTGCTGAAGGTTTGGGGAAGGGACAAGGTTCCCACACGCATGGTGTCAGCTTGACAATACTGACGCGGTGCGGCTCCTCCCCTCCCCCCTCATTTCATGGTGTCCCTTCCTTGCCCCAAACCTCCCTTCCTCATTTGCATGCCAGTTCCTCCCCTCTCCCACATTGCAGGGTTTCCCTTCCTAGCCCTGCCCCTCCCTTCATTTGCATGCTGGCCCCACCCTGTGCGGGTCCCTGCTGGCTGCGTGGGCTGGAGCAGGTCGCAGTGCAGCGGTGGGGCAGGCGCAGGGGACGCGGATGCTGGCTCGGAAGGATGCTGCGGCCGGGCCTGCGGGAGATGCTGCTGCTGCTGTGGCTGTCGGGGTGGGAAGCCGGCGCCGCCCCCACCTCCCCACATCCCCCCGTGCCCACAGACATCACACTGGGGGTGGTGAGTTGCGGGCCCCAGGGACGGAGGGACCCCTGCTGCTTGGGCTTGGGCTGCCCCAGGGGAGAGGGAGCAGGGGGGTGTCCCTGCACATCCCACACCCCCCTGTAGAGTCCCCACATGTCCCCCTGGCTGCTGAGCCCAGGTGCGCAGGTGTGGGAGCATCCTCGAGGCCACCCAGGTGCCAGGGAGGACACGGCAGGGTCAGGCAGCACCCCTTGACCCCTGCAACTGGACAGGTCACATGAGCGCCCGCTCCTGCTGGCCCACTGGGTGATAAAAAGTTCATGATCCAACTCCACATTCAAAAAGGTTGGACACCCCTGGTTTAGCAGAAGCTGGTCTGGGGCGCAGTCTCCCCCGATGAGCAACTCCCCAGCAGGCCACAGGGAAGCAGAAAGGGCTCTTGCAACTCTCTGCTGTCCCGGGGCCCAGCACTGGAGCTCCTGCTTTTGCTTCACAGAGAAGCAGCCCTGGGTCCTGGAAAGAGCAACCGGTATCATGTCTCCCTTTGGGAGAACTCTGCTCTTTCAGTCTTGGGAGGGGGTTCAGGGGGGAACCAGCTGTTCACATCACCTACCAGATTGCCCTTAGGATTTGGACCCGTTCATCCCCACAGCCTCCGTAGAGGGATTTGTTCTGTTCTGATACTAACAAGTCAGCAGTTGTGTAACTGTGGACAGTTACAGTTGACAAACAACACTTTGATCAACTGTTGTGCCTTGTGGCCGTGTGGGGGTGAATAATTAAATCTCTCTCCCTTGGGCTCGCCTGCCACACTTTGGAATGATGGAAGAATAAGAAGTTAATTCCCCAGCAAGAGAGGGTGTAGTAAATCACCCAGAAGTGGGATAAAAGAAAATTGGTTTATTAGTGAATTCCCTGCAGGTTGTGGAGAACCCCAGCTGTTCTCTTCCTTTCGCCCTCCGAAACCATGCAGCCCACTCCCCTGAGTCAGTCAGCTCGACTCCAGTCTCGCTCTCTTTTCTCTCTCTCACAGGTACCAGCGGGACCTTCTCTTGGCCGGAGAAGGTCTGACCTGTCCAGTAAGTCTCTCCTCTCTCCCTCATCTCCTTGCTTTGCTGGTTGCCGTGGTTACCTTTACCCGGTCAGCCGGTCTTATCAGCAATCTGTTCCAGCGCTGGGTTTGCCGCTCCTGGCATCCCCACTGAATCTCCTCAAGGGTGCTCCAGGGGGCAAAAGAAACCCCCTGCCATGGACTTAAATACTAGCTGCTGGCTCCTACTCAGTCAACATTCACCCGGTGCCCTCCCCTTCCCAACTGTGTCTACTAAGTAATTATCCTTTCCCTGTCCCTGACCCCACTCTCCCCAGCCCTTGCAACTTTGTCCCATCAAAGGAACAGGACTGCCCTTGCCCTGTTACATGCCTGTTCGCCCAACCCTTACTGGCATCGTTTTGGAGGAATTATTTTTGCCAATCAAAAACAAGGGTGGATATGTCCTAATTTAATTACACGCTTATTAACTGTATCACTAATGGTTCAGTCACTGAACCTGGCGTGGGCTGGAGCACAAGGGCTCTGGGTTTCCAGCCTGGCACCGGAACTCTGGGACTCTGCACAAGTCTAGGCCTGGGATGTTGAGGCTTTGGCCCAGAGCCCTGTCATGCTACTGCCGTGGGTCTTGGACTGGACTGTGTGCTGCATGCAGCATGAAAGTCTGGTCCATGGGCCCATCCAGCCAGTGCCCAGCCCCTCACTAGGGTCTATCTCCTCTTGGCCAGAGCTGCAGCGCTACAGCCAGAGGCCCTGGCCAGGGGGACACAGGGAACTGTGGGGCAGCAGCTATGCTCAGGCCTAGGCCTTGACATGACCCCTGGGGGCTGGGACATGGACAAGTGCATACAACCCTTCCAGGCAGCAGGAGTTCCCCCCCACACACCTGCTCAGCAAATCTGCATACACACACCCTGCACTCTGGGATGCTTGCATGGCCTGAAAGCAATGGCTGAGCCCAGCTGGAGGGACTCAGCTTCCAGCTTTGTTCTCACATGGAGACCCAGCCCGCAGTGAGCTGGGAAGTGCGCAGGGGCAGGAAGGGAAGCTCAGGGCAGCACACAGTAAAGTGAACAGCTCCAGCCCTTCTAACCAGCTCCCATCGCTGGCCTAGACAACCCTGCTCCAGCTGCTCTGCCCTCTCCAGCCCACTGCCTGGGCCCACTGACCTACTCCAGCACCACTCTTCAAGTCTCAGGACCTCAGCCTGCCACAGGACCTGGTGAAGGAGCAGGGAAGGGAGAGACAGCACACTCCGAGTACCCATGTGGTCCCACTCTCTCACCTGAGCTCCTCCATCCTCTTGAGCTTGGTGATGCACTCACTATGCTGGTGAGCCTCCTCCTCCAGCCACTTGCCCTTCTTGAAAATGGTTACTTGATTATGCATGTGTGCTGCACCTCGTGCACCTGGCATTCGTGTGCCTGGTGCTACACCTCATTTGTGTGCCTCAGCTGCTGGGCTACCCTCTCCTCTGGCTGCTTCTGCTCCTCCTCAGTCTGATCCTACTGCACTCTTAGGAAGATGCAAGGGCTGCTGACAGGTGCCAGCCCAGCCGCATGCACAGGCAATGACTGTCCTCCCTGACTGCAGGCTTGCAGGGCGACAACCTTCCTGCCAGGGGCTGCTACGCCTCTTCTCCCACAGACGCATCTGATCAAGCCCAGTCATCTTCACAACAGCTCATGCTCCTCAAGTTCATCCAGAGCTGCAGAGGGCAAGCCTGATGCTCCAGATGGGTTGGCAAGGGTCCTTCTTGGGGCAGGGTCCCAGCAGAAGCCAAGGCCTGAGCATGGTCTGAGTGAGCATCTAGCTTTGGCCCTGTGGCCTGTGCGATGGGCCTGCCCTGTGCTACCCCTACTGCAGGGCAGAGCAGCCTAAGAGCAGCACAATCCCCTACAGCTGCTGAAGCATGGATAGTGGAGGTAGAATGACCCCCACAGTACTGCTAGCTCATGCTACTTGCCTATCTATATTCTCCATATTAATGTGGGCCTTAAGGCCCACACAGCTAACTAATAGCCCCATTGCAGGGCCAAACAACAAAAGCAAAAGCAAAAGCAAAAGCAAGATAGGAGTGACATGGGGGTCAAAGGTTCAAAATGTGAAAAGAAGTTCTGCAGAGGGGGACACCGAGCAGACCTCATACTACCTGAGGCTCTGCTCAACCTTGACATAATCCTCTTGGCTCCACACAGTCAGGCTGTACTTCTGGGTGGCCTGCTCCAGCCAGCTCTTCTTCCACATGGCCGCCTCTTCCTTCTGGCACCACTCGCAGTCCATGGCCTCCTCGTTCCACTAGGCCTGGAGCGAATCCTGCCAGAAAGGAAGCACTGATTTCCGCTGCTCACTCAGCAAGAAGCTAAGCTATGATGCTGCCCCTGCTCCCCACTGGGGAGCCAGCCCGAGGCCCTAGGGCTCCCTTTGCCTGGCTCTTCTCACAGCTCTATAGTGCCAAATGGCTCTTTTCCACCTGCCTCCATATGCAATGCTTGCTGCCATGGCAAAGCATGGAGGAACCAGCCAAGCTGCTGAGCCTGGGTGGAGCCAGCGACGGCAGAAGCTGCGGACTCCATGTTAGCTGGAAACTGGGATAAGCTGGGCCGAGCTGCAGGGAGACATGAACTGGGCAAGTGTTGCCTTGTGGTGGGGGGGTGGAGATTCTGCCACATGGCAGTCCCAGGTCTCATGGGACCTGCAGCTGCCAGCCAAGGAGCAGGGCAGGCCTCAGGGCCCACGCCTGGTGGCAGGACAGTTCTCCTCTCCATTGCTGAGCCTGCGCAGGGCACGGAGCTGGGGGCACAGGGTTGTGTGAGCTGGGCAGCACAGCAGGGTCCATCTCCTTGGGAGTGCAAACTGAGGGGCTGGTAGGACCGCACAGCCCTGGCTCAGGCCCCCTGGCTTGGTGCTGGCTCTCCAGCACACCTGCCTCTTACCTCCACCCCACCAAAGCAGCCAGGTCTGGCTACATGTTACAGATGGCCTCTCAGGAACAACAGCACAGTGGAGGGCCCTTGCCCTACCACAGGCCAGGGTCAGGTCTGTCTGGCCTGAGGGAGGGCAACACTGCCCAGTAGAAGAGGTGCCCTGGCTCCCTACCATGCCACCGGGGCAGTGCACACTGCTGGTCTCCTGGCACGTGGATTCACTCAGAAGGGCATTTACAAAAGACCCCGTCAGAACGTTCACCCCTGGAGGTTGTGGGATTCTCCATTCACACTAGGAGAAACTCCCAGGAGGGCTCACCTGAAGCTCCTTTGCTCTTTCTGGGGGACCAGGCAAGGCAAGGGCAAGATACCCTTGCCTGCCTCTCCGTCCAGGGACAGGTGAGGGAAGGCTGCTCAGCATTATGCTGACTCAGCAAGGCAGTCAGACAGGTTTACCAAGGGCTTCCTCATTTCCCTGTGAGTCTTACTGAAGTACCCTGCCCCTCATGGCAGTACTGGTAAAGTGAGGAGCTTGCATGGATCCTGTCCCCTGCTTGTCCCCTCTCTACTCCCACTGGAGCTGAGGGAAGAGCTCTCCAGCTGAAGCCTGGGTATTGCTGCCTGACTTGGAGAGATAATGTCCTCTCACCATGAGCCAGACTGGCCACACACCCCACCCATGCCCTGCTCACCCCTGGAGCTCCAGCCAGGGTTTAGTCCAGCAAGAAGAGCTGCCCTGCACAGTCCCAGGAGGAAGCATCCCCCACTATTCCCAGTGGGAGCATTGGTGTGATGCTCTCTGCTGTGCTGGGTCCCACACTGCCAGAGAGGCCAAGAGGAAGTGAGGGGCAGGTGCTGCCACATGCATTACCTGCTCTGCTTTGAGGAGTGCCATATAAGGGGACTGGGAGAAGTAGCTATTGGCAGGCTTAAGCCAGATGTGGGATAGAAAAAGGTTGGAAAAGATGAAGTAAAGTTTAGGATAATAGAACTCTGTGCCCCTAGGCGCGCACACTCCTCTCCTGAGCCTGGTTCTCAACTGAGACTGCAGAGCAGTGGTTCTCAGCTAGGGTGCTACAGCATCCTGAGGTGCCATGAGATCCTTTCAGGGGTGCCACAACACAAACATTGCCATTGCTGCAGCCAAATCAAACTGTGCCTGCAGAGCCAGATCACGAAGCAACTGTCGCAGGAGCGTCTGTTGTCATCACAGCCCTTCCTGGTCCAATCTCACATGACATCTCCCATAAATGGAGGCATCCAGAACAGCTGGAACTATCTCATGTCTGTTTCTGGGGGGAGCTTTTGGGGTCCACCCAGAAGGGGCTGTAGGGAACAGTGGGCATCCCAGCCACAGCCACTTCCCAATCTGGCTCTGCAAATGCATTTTCACCTGACTGCAGCAGCAGCAGTGACAGGCCCCCGGTTGAGAACCAGTACCCTAAAGAAAGAATTCAGTTGTATGCGAACAGAGCACATAGTATTTTTATGCTTATCTGAATGTAACCCTAGCTGTGGTGCTACCCACGGCTGTTGGGCTGAAACTCATTTGAGCCCTACTTCTTTGTGGGCAAGGAGAACTCTGTGATTAACCACTGGCACTCATCCGACAAACAGTAAGAAGCTTTATTGACTACAAAACATCTACTATGCACAAAGCAATTAATCAACTGGGGTTGCCAGAATACAAGGAGTCAACTTTCCTGGCACTGCCAGAATATAAGCAAACAGTTACCAAAGACTGAGCACATTAACGTGACTCTTCACTGCTTCACAGTATGTCTAGAGCTGTTATGCAGGAGTTACTTCCTACAGCCAGCCGCCCTGGGAAAGCTTCCTGGGTTGTGCTGCTCCCATCCAAAGACTTGATCTTCCCTTAGAAATCCATACAATGAACAGTGAACACTGACTTCACTTGCTTAGGCTATTTAACCCTTTAGTGACATCATCATCATTAATGCTAGCTAAGGAGATTATAATATTTTAACTGGTAGATTCTAAGTTAGACAATAGCATATCCTTACACACTTGGTATATTTTCCTGTTATGTTTCCTGTTCTTACGTTTAATTAGTCCTAATGGTCAGCACTGTATAGTCCTA